ACACACACACACACACACACACACACACACACACAGGGCCTTCTTCAGAGATCTGTGTCTAGTCCGAGACAACATGAATTAGCATGCGCACGCATGCGTGCATGCAGGGGATTTCGAAAACATCAGACCAAAACAAACTGAAGCAAGCCAGGCCGATACACTCCGGCTCAGTGGAGTTATGAAACTGTGATTATTAACTGTGGGATGAACATCACCAGTAAACACACATGCTCCGTCTCAGAAGTCCACATGAGCTGGCTGAGTTCCGTCCTCCCACGGATTTCTTTAGAAATCTTGCTCAGACCAGACATATGGTTTGAGATGACCGTGATTCCCAGTGGGAACACTTTGTTTGCAGACACATGCTTTCTCCGACATTCCTCACATTGTCTGAGAGCACACTCTGATTACAAAATACAAGCTGTTTTAATCACCATAAACATGCCACGACCCTGCTGACATCCAGAAGATAAGATTCAACCCTGTCATGAGATTACACCAGCTCTTGCTAGCAGCTCTCATGTGAGTTAACAGTGATAGATATGTTGGGATGTATCAGCAGAATTAATAAATCAACCTTCCTTCCTGCCCAGGCTCCCAGAGGGATCATTCAATGTTAACCTCAGCTGTCGACAGGTAAAACCACAAGTGTTTCGCTGTCTTCAGATAGATGTTGTGTCTGTGACTGCATTCGTGAACGTGAGCGCAAACATTCATGTGTGTGCGTAGATGACTGAGATTCCTCCAATTCTCCAGTGACATTAGCTCATGGGGGAGAACAACACAGCTGACCCTCCAACCCCTCCTCCTCCACCACCACCTTGTAAAGTGATCCTCCTCATCTTATGTACATTCACTGTGAGACAGCACGTGAAATACACAGTGCAAATGCTTCTGAGAGACAGCAGGTTTAAAAAAAAAAAGTGAAAGTAAAGTGAAAGATTGCTGAGGATGCTGGAACGACGGTGCATGTCAACAGCGGCTTTTAGTCCACATTTTCGAGGGATTCTGTCAACGTGGGAGTGAAGGTGGAAGAGTGAGCAGGGATCTGACAGAGGTCCACACATCCAGTTCAGAAATGTGGGCGGGGGTGGGGGGAGTGGACAAGGGATGATTTGTGGGGCTAGAGACTGCAGCAGCTGTGAGGTGAGAGAAGGACAAAACATCTGGAGGCTGAGAAAAGATTGGGAAGAGTGATTCAGTGCACAATATTAAATCCACCATGGCTTAATTGACCTAAAATCCATATAGGCTGGAGTTTGTAGCCTTTAAATACACTGTCGCTCTATAAATACCCCTTTAAATCCACTTGACTAAGAAAAAGAAGCAGAATTACAAAGCATCTGGTTGCCTGGAGGTCTGTGATGGAAACTAACACTGGTGCAGCTGATGTAACAGTTACTCCACCCTAGATGTGAGCGAGGCCAACTCCCCATTTGGACTGGAACAATAGCAACAATGGTGATTCCAATACACAACACCCATGCAAGAATGTGCAAGGTTTGTGTGTATTTACAATAAAGAGTGCACATGAAGATGGATACTCCCAATGTGCAGCTGAAATGTGTCGGACCTAGGTGAAGAAAACTTCGTCACTTCTGTGAGAAACAGAGAAACTGTTACAGGCTGATGCTGAAGGAGACACTTGTGATAAGAGCGACTCGTCAACTTTCAGTTGGTGGCTCCTGGTATCGATTACTATTTCAGGAAAAGTGATTTATATAGCACTGATCCAAGATTGCCTCAGAGGAGTGGAGATGGTTCACAGCCATGTAAGAATTAAAATAAAGTTAATCCTCCATCTCCTCTCAACAGATATCATCACCTTTAGTAATGCAATGTACATGCTAACATAAGGCGGTGTAGCTGCCCATGTGAGGATGGAAAAAGCATGAAGGCCCAAAGCCTTTGCTGACTTTGCATGACATCAATTATCATGACATTCTTGTCTCTACAGACATATTGAGTCAATATTAAGTTGCATCAATTTATCTAAGAGGAAATGCTGTGCAACAAGTTTAAACATCCATATGTTGTGCTTCTAAAGTAAATGCATAAGTTATTCATCAACATATTCAGGCTTTTGTACTCACAAATATACTTTATCTTGACCGGTTTGACAGATTATTAAATGTGTTGTAAGTATTTTTAGCCATTTAAAGCAGAGAGAAAGAGTATACTGCCTGGCAGGGTGCTGCTCATTGATCTGAATGTGGTTATGTATTAGTTAATTTACTGGATTTATAAGCTGTGACCTTTTTTTGTTTTAGTGAAGCTAGTCATGAAAATCTTATTTGATATATTTTGAATTATGAAGTCTCTGAATGGCCCACTACTTAAGCGATGTCTTGCTAAGTTGTAAAATATTCCACTGCCAGCATGCAAGGCTCTGATAAATTAGGTCTGCTTGCACACTTTGGAATCACTGCCAAGTCGCAGAAGCTAATCTCTTAATCAAATTACACTCAATTCATGTTTTCCACGTCATGTTTGAAAGAAAAGGGCTGTTTATTAAAAATGCACAGAGATACATTGTAAAAAGGCTGAAAGCCATTAGCCCTGGGCCTAATATGTTTGTTCTGGTCTTACTTTTAGGTTCACATTCCTGACTGCGCTGTTCATCATGCTGGGGCTCAGTTACATACGGGATGAATAGAGTTAACTATTGTTACAGGGCTGGCCTTGTGACTACTCATTCTCTTGGGGAAAGAACAATGACAACATTTTACAATAGAGCCATGAATCTGATGTAATGCTAGAATGTCTGTAGTATGATCACTTTCATTTGCTGTGAAACCTCAGGACGGGAGCGGCAGGTGGAAATTGCCACCAACTGGCTTGTGTTATGTTGTACTGGACTATTGTTTCATCAAGAAGTAAATTATCTGGAGACACCAGATTAAATCCAACTCACTAGAGATCGCCTCATCATAAAAGCACATGCAAGTAATTGACCCTTCACTCCACCCAGTTCTTAAAGATTTCGCCAAACCCAGTCTTTTTTCCTGGAATGGTAAGGCAGCGCCGCTTTTATGCCCGGCAGTTATTTAAACAAACCAGAGGAAAAAGGTGAAAGAAGTCAGATATGAGATTTATGGCTGCACATGGATCATGTTGTGTTTCCCAGCTGCGGTGATTCTGAAAAATTCTGAGGTAACTACAATGGAGAATTCCACAAAGCACAGAGCCAACAGAAGTCTGACTAAAAGATGTAGAGTCGGCCACGAGAGCCAAAGGGGGCAGACTGTTGAGGAAGGTGGGACCAGGGGCCACAGCCCAACCCTTTCAGAGAGCTTCCTGAGGATATCCGCAGCTTGAACAGAACAGTGCTCTGCCATCCCAGCAGAGGAAACCTGCCAGATCTCTGTGTGACCTCAATGATGAGACCAGCCAAGACATGGAGCAGAGAGATGAGTAAGACCCGGCAACAAAAGACCAAATTAGGCTATGATCCACAGAACATTATTTGGCAAAGACATGAAGTGGCCTAGCTAACCAAGGTTTGGCAGAGAAGGACTGAAGCATATGCAGCCTCTCTGTATGAAGTGTTGTGTAGGAGGCAGCACATCATCTAACCATATGTTTCCCAGACACAATCAAGTCTTGAGAACAGGATCCAAATCTTGGATTGAGAAACGAAGCACCGTCTAGTACATAATCAGTGTTTTCCGAAATGGACAAACTCCCACCCACGCTGTGTGAAACAAAATGCTTCAAACAGAGGAGGATTCCCTGCAGGCAAATAAAATATTTCCATTTAGTCTTGGCTTAAGATGGACTTTCAAGCAAAAAAATGAGATGAGACGTCTCTTTCAGAGAAACACAGTTGGGATAATGGATGATTGTCAGCTGTCCAGTTCTGGACCTCTACATTTCACTGAGAAATGAAACAGTTATTCCAGATATAAGAGCCAGAAGACATGTAGTGAAGATGAGCTGGAATGGATTTTTTCAGGGATCTTTACAGATGCATGCCTCAAAAATATTGTACACCATAGGCTGATATTGTTTTCTCAGTTTCCACTGAAGTAGTCTTATTGTAGCTGGTTTAACATTCAGTAAAAGTTCAGATCTGGAATGGAATTCAAGGCCAATCTCCATTGAGACTTCTGTAAATCCAACCACTTTAAACAACTACTGCTCCTGTGCAATAGAGTTCTAAAACTACCTTTGACTCTTAATTAGCTGAGAGGCTATTTACTTTGCTTCCACCACAAATAAATGACTGGCTTACTTAGGCATTCTTATTTAACACATTCCACAACAGGGCTGCTGTGTATGGTTAACCTCAAAGACAGGGGCCCCTCAGAAAAATACTGCAGACTGCAGGGAACTTTCATTTACAATCAAAACACCATCAAAACTTAGTTTCAAGGCGCAAATGCAGGCGCCATCATGCGATCGTTTTAATCCCTATCTACGATGTCACTTGAGCTTTAAGAGTACGGCTGCTGAGACATATAGGTTAGAGACAGAGTATGGTAAACATGTTGACCAGATCCTTATCAGGATGGATGATGTCCATCTGTGCAAGTATGTAGGCCTGTTCTCACATGTGGGGAGCCAAGACAAAACACATTTGCAACAGTGAATTCAGTTGCGTCAGAGGGCTTGGGGCAAACTGAGATTTAAAGGGCATTCATTCCCATATGGACTCACAAGCAAAACAAAGGCCATTGAAAGTCAGAGACCATTGGTTATATATAGCAGGTGCAGTTTGCTCAGGGAGATATGGTGGTCATTGTCATTGTGCTCAGAATTATTGTCTCACATGGTTCTTAAAGATAGGAGCACTTGTCCCTTTAAACCATTTAAATACAACTTTAAATCATTCACCTTTCTAAAGGACGGGTATTCAATTTTGTGACCTCTGATCACAAGCAAAGAAACTGCAGAGAATTAATGTTTGACAAGTTGTCATAAACTGCAACATTTAAAGGTACAGTGTGTAGAATTTTGTGATATCTAGTGTTGAAATTGCATATTGCAGCTGAACACCCCTCACCTCACCCTCTCCTTCCAAACATGAAAGAGAAACTGTGGTAGCCTTTAATTGTCATAAAAACTCAAAAGGTGTTTAGTTGGTCCAGTCTGGACTAATCTAAAAAACATGGCGGCCTCCGTAGAGAGGGTCCCCTCCATGTAAATATAAAGTATTTAAATATAAAGGCTATTTTCTGGGGTAAAGAAAACTATAATTCATACAATTTAGATGAAGCAAACTAGTGCAAACATCATGAGGATTATTCTACATTAAATTCCTGCCAATAGTTCCCTCTCACCTAAATCTTACACACTGGACCTTTAAACAAATTGTGCCTGCATGTAGCTGATTAACAGAAGTCACTCTGAAAATCCACCAATTGAAAGCAAAACTGACCTGTTGAACTTTTTCAAGACACTGGCTCGGAGCAGCCAAGAACACCAATCAAGGTCTTTACATTCCCACTTCTAGTTTATCTGTATGGTTTTCATGGTGGTCACAGTTAAGCCTTCCCAAGAACTGAAGGCATAAACGTGTAAAGTGATACTGCCCGAGGAACAAGCTTCCAACAAAAGCTGAGGTCACGGATTTCTAAATTATGTGAGAGAGCGCCATGTCTGCTGGCACGACAGATAAGGATTTCAAAACAACTTCTGAGGATGATCTACGATGTTAAGTGGCTGGACGGTTCATTTTACATTTAAAAATAAATGTAAAATGAACCGATGGACAGATGACTTTAGGACGACACATACAAAAGTTTTCAAAAGGTTTGTTGTGTCTGTGATTCAGTTCAAGAAGCTTCATTGATGAGCACAGACTTTGCAGACATTTGTCTCCAGAGCAATAAATCCAGGTAAATTACCAGGCGGGGAGCCAGATCTCCCACCCAGTGTCAGAGGCCACATCCCCCACCTCTCCTACACACACACACACACACACACACACACACACACACACACACACACACACACACACAGACAAACCATTCACATCTTCAGTGCCAGACCAAACCAAATTAACACCTCCGTCTTTTTAGCGGACTGGAAGTGACTGCAACACATTTGGTCAGCAGATCAATCAGATCCAATGGCCTGTGAAAAAAAGACCAGGGCTGCTTTTGTCTGCTGAACAAAAGAGTAGTGTTGCAAAACTAATGTGTGGTACTGCGATACACAGCATCTCCAAAGTCCCACAAACATTTAAAGGATCAAACACGTGAGGCCAAATCTGACTCTTTAGACTGAAATAAACAGAAGTTTACAAAGAAAACCGAGCAATCAAAATGTCTGGTGATGAAGAGGAGCAGTAAAACGAATATAAGAACTTAGACTATTAAAATCCTGATTAGGTCGATTTCAAATCTTTACCCTATTAACCATAACTGATCCAAAAACCATTAAGGGGAACTCCAGGAAATCCAAATGTGCATCATTGGCAATAAGCACCTAAAATATTCAGTTCTCTAAAAGTGCATTTACTTGAAAAAGATCACAGTTGAAACTAGAGAACAAGTCTGAACCTCTGGCTGAGCAAAGCTCAGGTGACCTCATCCAAAAGGAACAAAGCAGCATGGATGTGCACCAGATACACAGCAGCTGCACAAAACGTGCAAAGAAACCAAACTATATGCACAAACATGCACACAACTACACAAGGTTAATCTTTCAGTGCATTACATACCAACTTCTCATTCGATCCCCCCTTTTTTTTTTGCATCAAGGTCCCACCGGCTCACAAGCAGCATGAACCCTGATCACATGAATCCAAGACCACATGTCAAGTGCTGCAGCCTGAGAAACGTGAGTCTTTAAGGACGCGCTCCGGGTGTCTCTGAGAGGCGTGATTTCCATGCACCCACCGGTCCACTACACAACCACTCAATAGACAAATCAGTGTCGACTTTGAGGATGAGGGTGAAAACTCTCGGTAAGTTGTGAATCTATCACCGTGTCACCCCTCCCCCGAAAAAAACAACTTACCAGCATCCCCATAACATCCGTCCACAGTTGGGAAAAACTGTCCGACGCAGCAGCGCTCTCAGCCCGCGGCTCATCTGGAGGCGGACCGGTCCCCTGATCACCCTCCATACTGCTGCGAATAATTTGTGTTCGAGTCCGACCCAATCTGGTGGGAAAGTTTGAATCCGATCCCACGGGCTGGGGCCCCGATCACCAGCGGTAAATAAGTGCCAAGGCTGCTCCTACACAAAGTTGCCTCTGGCGCACCGGTGAAATGCTCCAACATGGCTTGGCACGATCCGGAGTTTGGTGCGTAAATCTCGTCCCGACATGTTTACGAAGCTCCCACGATAGGTTCGTGCGTTGAATTCAGATTATAAACAGCACCCAGATGACAGGAGGAAAGAAAGAGGGGCCTCCCTAAGTTGTGTGGGACCACAACAGGTCATTCGTCTGAGGACTTCCTACAGCGGGGTGTTCCCTGCTCAACAGTCCGTTCAGCACAGATCCCAGCGCCGGGCACAAACCAAAGTGCCCTCCCCCTCTCAATTACACCTTGGTCGTTGAAATTGACGAAAAAAAGTTCCTGGAAAGTTTTCTGAATCCCTAGATGAGTGACCGAAGACTGTGTGAACTAGTGGAGCGAGCGCAGCTTATTTCCATGAAATATTTGGAGTGAGAGGACGCCCGGAGCACAGAGCAGATCCTCCAAACCCTGCGCCTCCCCCTCCTTCCACCCGCCGCCTCTCCCTCTCCCTCTCTCTCCCTCTCACACAGACAAACCAAACACACACACCCCACTCATGAATTAATAATATTCCAATTAGGAATTATTACTTGTACCAGATTTCCATATCTCTTGTGCCTTCTGTGAACTTTGAATTATGTTTTTGATATTGTCATATATTCTTTAAAATTCTTTAGTGGAGCACGTGAAGTTCATTTAAGTGAAAACTTTTTTATCTACTGCTGACAAGGCTTTCCACCAATACGTCTCTGCAGCCACGCAGGGGATGAATGGGGATTGTGAACAAAGCACATTCTCCACACAATTGTATGGAAAACAAAAAAAAAGCGTATGGGAAAAATGTTTTTACTGGGGTGACGCACACTGGGCTTCATTTCTGGACAAAAAGCTGGACAGTAACACAAAAAAAACAACAAATCTCTGATTGTACCCATTTAATATGAGTAGGTTTATAGTTTTTAAGGAAGGCCACTTATTCAGAAAAGACAAACAGATGGATTATAATGCAACAGCTCTCTGGGCCGCAGATCTCATTTGAATACAAGCAGGATAAAGTGAACCGGGTTATGTACAAGCATGAAATCGCACAGCTATCTTGTCTGATCAGCCGTTTGTTATGCTCCGCCAGCAAGCTACTCTATTGTGATGAGGAAGTCCAGACACTGTCCCTCTCTCTCACTGTTATTGTCAGGAGCACATTTTCTCAGCAGCTGCCAGGTCTCGTGATTGATGCCAGAAGGAGCAGAGATATATGGAGTCCCTCAGACTCTCCTCCCTGTGGTTTCAAAGCCCCAGATCTAAAACACTGCTTCACCTGCTGTTTGCCAAACTGGGCCGATGACAGCACGTGCACACGTCGGAACGCAAGAGTAACATAACCATAGAGGGGGAAAAAAGGCCGGAGCAGAAAAAATCATGTTAACTCCACATTCCTATCTGTAACCATGTAAAAGGTGATCAGTTACACAATAATCCCCAAAGCTACAGTTTCACCTGTAGTGTAAGCAGATATGTGATAGGAGGCCTCCTGTGGATTAGGCAGGGTGCTGAAGGAGTCCCACGCATGACATATTTGCATTTTTATTTTATTTTATTGGTAATCTACATGATTGATTTATGATTTTATCTTATTATTATGAAGAATTCTGTTCCTAAAGACCTGAAGTAAGAAGCTACAGCCAGTAACAATTCATAGTTTGCATGCAGACATTTGCAGATTTGCTCTAAATATTCATTGTTATAAACAGGATTACACAAAACCTACGGGACGGATTACCACAAAACTTTATGGAAGGATGTGGTATGGCTCAGGGAAGGAGCAATAAAATGTTGGTGTGGCTCTGGATCAGGGGGCAGATCCAGGATTTGTTTCCCAAATTTCTTTTAAATTGTGAGATAGCTCTGCAACAATTTCCTTGATTTCTCAGTTAATAATTTATATTTTTGATAATAAAAAAAAAATCAGGCAAATACAAATTTGGATGAACTGAATTCAAACATGGTTAGACGAGGGGACCGGCGGGCCTTGTCGGAGGTTTTTGCTCCACTGAGAGCCTGTCTAGACGAGTAGACATTTTGACCAAATGATGGCTCGGCAGAAAAACGTCAGGGGATCATGTTTTTCATTTCCAATAATCCAATACTTCAATAAATCAGGGGATCATCAGCGTCACTAGGATTCATTCTCTGAGGACCATGACGGTCTGTACAAAGCGTCATGGTAATGGATATATTTATTATTACTATATTCATTTTGTTAGTGATATGTTTCAATGTGGACCGATGCGGTGGATTCACAACTGCTGTAACACAGTTACAGATCCAATTTTGATAGTTCATGGTTAGTTTTCAGTTTCTCTCTTTGTTGGCACTGATTATGACATTTTAAACAATATCACGGTTCAAAGTGTGTGTAGGTGCACACTGACTTTCACAGGCCTCGGATGAGCGGCAGCTGTTCAACAGTGTCCTGCTTACAGTCTAAACACACAGAACACACGCGCTCGCACAAGGGCGGCCTTGTTGGCCGGCGAGTCGACAGCATCGGGGATCTGACCTCTGTCTGTAACCTCAGGGTGACGAGAGGAGCAAGTGGGAGGTGTGTGTCTGTGCTGTAACATAACATCAGGCTCTGTGCATCTACAATACGGGGACCACGGTTTTGTGATGCACCCTCCCGTAGCTCAAACAGGGGTTTTTAGAAATCATCCAATACACACACACACACACTCCCACTGCTCGATAAGCACAAACACCCTTCCTGCCAGCCAACCCCCTCCCCTTTATCCAAATACAAGACAGTGTGACCCCACCTGGAGGACGTCAAACAGAGGGGTTAAACTGTTAATGAGCAGAGGAGGAAGCCTGTTGACTCAGTGCACACTCATCAAACACTGCGGGTGTGTGTGTGAGTGTGTGAGAGTGTGTGTGTGTGGACACCAACTTTCCCCTTTTCTCTTCACACTAACCACTAATCAAGGTGTCATGTTGCCAGACGAGGAAACAAAAGTCCCTCGCCAGATAATTTGCTGGGTGCTAACTGCCAAATTATTACATGTTAGACGGTTCCATTTGATCTTTTTTCTTTCTATTTTTTTTTGGAGGGGGGATTCCACAGGAACATTTGGCCAGAAACGAGGTTGAAACATGTTGCATATGAATGTAGACTGGAGGATAAATCTGCAACCAATTCATGCTGCACATAAATTTGTCCCGAACTTGGGATGTGAGAGCTAAACTTATTTCATGGTTGTGAGAACGTATAGGGGCTCTGGATGATGTCATGAATATAAATCGCTCCCATAGGTTACTTTGAACACAGTCTTGAAAGCCTCAGGACTTGGACTCAGTCCTGACTATTGCCAAGTATGTTATTTTGACACTTCCACCGTCTTTTATCTGTCTTCTTTCATCTATTCCCCCTATCTGTTATTAATCTATTATTGATCGGCTCATTGTCTTATCAGGCATTCTTCTCCTGTGCTGATCCTGTAAAGCTCCTCTGGGTTGGGGGGGGGAATAACACTGTGTCATCAGGTTTGGGATGAAGCAGGAAAAACTCTTTAATGGGTGAGAGACGGAAATAATTTATATCAGACCTGTTGAAGCTGTGTCAGCCTGGGGTCGTGACGTATGACTCAAAATAAACGTGGTAGAAATAAATCCTATTTTCACCAGTTGGATGCAGGACAGATGTTTACAGGTGTTTGCTTTCCTCATTAGAATTATTCATCTTTAAAGCTTTGTAAAAGCCAAAATTCACCTAGATTAAAATCAGGATTAGGATTAAAGGGATAGTATAAGACACGAACATGGGCGATGACAATCCTTAATCAGGGGAGAGGCAGAAGAATCGACGCCATCAATGATGCAATAACCTCTTGAATCTCTTTTGACAAATTATTTCTTCTACATGTGTATGGCACTTCTTTACAAATATATAAATGTAAATCCAAATGAACCGATTCTTGTGACTCCTTGAGCTTCATCTATCTCACAGTGAATAACAAACTGGAAGTGAATTTATTTGAGCCCTGTAGCCATGAATGGTCAGGCCTCGAGTGGCCATAGGAAAGATGCATGAGCTGGAGAGGCACCTGGAGTCTGAGGAGAAAATGGAGATAGAGACGGAAAAAGATTGCAGATGGTGTTAATGTAAAGCAGAGCTGGACCTCCCCTGATAGTGAGAGTGACCCTTCCTGGAGGTCACTGACCCCAGGCCTTGAAAATAGCCTCTGGGGGAGTCATGAACCTCACTGACGTGGGCTGATTAACATGGCGAACAGGCATCATGTGCACCACCAACGCACTGAAGGAATGCTGTGACCTGCATGCAACACTGACATGCATATACACAGCAGTAAAAGAACAATTTTCCAGCATGTGGACACTATTTTTTGTACTATGTAATACAAAGAGACACGTGTATTCAATAGTCTAATGTTTAAAAAGAATTAAAGATAATATAAAGGCATGGTAGGCTTTTGTTTAGATTACCATATCTGTATTTATCACTCTATCTGCACATCCTCCTCCGTTTTTCAAGTGAACATGCACAGATTTACCCACAAACCTTAATTGGATCGAATGTCCTGAACCCGTCTTAGGGTGCTACCTCTTAGCGAATAATTGGCATCGAGATTCTCACATCATTATTTCCTCTTAGTCGATGGGTCAAAGGCCTGACAGTCCCCAGGCATTTTCTTTGAACCAATCTGGATGTGAGCATTTGTTGTCCTTTATTTATTTCCGTGTGTGCATGTTTGTATGTGTTAGTAAGAGCACATTTGTGTGTGTGTGTGTGTGTGTGTGTGTGTGTGTGTGAGATGAGTAGGTGGCCAGGCTGGTCCCACTGAGCCTCACACGCCGCTGAGTCTTGTGTGGGAGTTATCACACAAGCCCAATTAGCATGACAACTAATTACTGTTTCCTCGGTCCCCCCTCCCCCTCAGCTAAGCAAGTCATTAAATTAAATCAACACACTGGTCTTTCCACCGAAAACAATGCTTCAAGCAGTAATCAAAAATGCCTGGCGCTTGCTGTTTGTGTACTTTGGGTATTGCTTTTCATAGGGTGGTCAACCAAAACACTGGAGTCTTTTGAAAGCAGGAGACATGTTAACTCCAAATATCAACACAGGAATTGGCTGTGGGCTGGATGGAGGAGAACAAACGAGAAGAATGTGAAATAAACACAGAAAAGTGATAAACATGGGCTCAGGAGACGATTAATCAGCTGTTAGTAGCAAAGCAGGTCACATAAAAACTGAATGTGGGGAAAAAACAAGAAAAACATTTAGACTTTCAGAAGAGAGAAGAAAAGAAACAATATTTTTTATCAGCGTCATTGAGGATAAAGGGAGATTCAACTTTATCTCTTGTGCTCGACTCTCACATTCTTCTCGACTCTCACATTCTTCAAGAACTATATAATAGTTTTAAATGTGCTTTCATTTGAATCAACCAAATGTGATGGACA